TGCACCACTGCACTCCAGCCTGGGTGAGAGAGAGACTCCATCTCAAAAAAAAAAAAAGAAAAAAGACAAAAGAAAAAAGAATGAACTGGACATGGAGATCGTCCACAACACCATGTGTAATCTGTAAGATTCCTTCCTCCTTAAACATGTGGTAGGACAGCTGTGGCTCAACTCCCACCACAGGACCATGAGCTTCCAGACCTGAGGGCTGGCACTGCACGTGGAGTGCACCAGCGAAGAGAACCTGAAACATGAACGGCAGAACATCAATACTAAACAACCCACGTAGATTCCAGAGTTCCTTTCAGTCTTTATTTACAGCAACACTGCCACTGTATATGGCGGGTTTGTGTGTCTGTACACGCGTGCACACACATATTCTTACGCTCAAGAGACAGGGTGTGGCTTTACAGACCAAAAAGTATGGAAGCTCAGTTGTAACTGGTGTTAGAGATCAGACAGACAGCAAGAGGGCGATGCTCACCTGGCCGCTCGGTTCTTGAGGGAGACAGCACTGCTGGCACCGCCGTCGGCACCCACAGCCTCACCATCCCCCAGGGTACATGCTGTTGTGGCCAGGCGCAAACTACGGCGGGACATCCGTGGAGAATCAAATACGGGGTCCAATTTGTGCTCGGTCTCAAAATCCAGGGCATCTGAAGAATAACTGGAACTAGAAGGAAAAAAACTAATCAGAGATAAAGCGGTGCTTATAATCCCCATTCTGAAACAAAATGAACAAATCAAAAACTGAGAGTGCAATGTATTGTGGATTTTCAAGAGCAACTATTACTGGGTGACAACCTCACTCTAATGCAAACGTATGGTGGCAGAGGTCAGCCAGCATCGGCTCCTGACATCTGCCCCAGCCACTCTCCTTTCACATCAGACGTAGGTCAGCACATTCCCAGATGCTGGGACCTAGCGTCTACAACTCACCCTAAGAACTGCTTGAGGGCATATGCTAGAGCCCTGAGCCCCCACCTACGTCCTCGCTATAAACACATCAGTGTGTGTTTCCCAGTCAACACTACGCGGACATAAGATTTAATCCAATACACCAGTGCATATAAAATGAATCCACGCAGGAGAGGAGGCCAAGTGACCGAGTCGTCAATGCTCCCCTTCTAAATTTAGAATTTATCTAAAGGCTTGAGACAAATTTAAAACTGCTTTGAGCCTGTGACCAAAAGAAAGGCACTTCCAATACCTTCCATATAATTATTCAATTAATGTAATTAAATAAAAAGATGAGCCAGGCACGGGGTTCACGCCTGCAACCCCAGCACTTTGGGAGGCCTAGGCAAGAGGACTGCGTGAGCCTGGGAGTTTGAGGCTGCAGTGAGCTATGACTGTGCCACTGCACTCCAGCCTGGGTAGCAGAGCAAGACCTTGTCATACGTTCATGACCAACAGTAAGTTAATACGAACTGCTTCGAGTTGCCACACACAATTTAAGAAGAGGTTCTTTAATTCAGAGGCTGAGGTGGGGACAAGAGAGAGACTGCACTAAGCTATGCTGAACAGTGATGATGGGTATGAAGCTAGACAGAATTTCAGTATCATCTCAAGCAGGGTTTGTTTCTAGCAGAATATTTTACACAATTGTGATGCTAGTTTAAAAAAACAATCTGATTTCAAATCAGAACTTGTCATGTAGATATGGACCAAGACAATTACGACTTTCAATTTATCCGTTAACCTCTTTGACTTCTACCCTCCCACCACCACACCCAGCCTCTTGATCTAATTACTGGGTTTGAAGTCGAGATGAGATCCCTGCTTTCCAACACAAACTGGGAACACTTGCTGGTTTGGGTAGAAAGGGCGCTGGTGAGGAAGCCGTGTGGAAGGACCCTCACGGCAGTGCTGTCACAGCAGCAAGACATGGGGACGCCACCCACAGAGGAACGGGCATGGGGACGCTGCCCGCAGGGGAACGGGCACGGGGATGCCACCCACAGGGGAACGGGCACGGGGACGCCGCCCGCAGGGGAACGGGTACGGGGATGACACCCACAGGGGAACGGGCACGGGGACGCCGCCCGCAGGGGAACAGGCACGGGGACGCCACCCACAGGGGAACGGGCAGGCAAACCAGGGCACATTCCAACTACACAATGCTGCAGGGCCATGAGAACACAGGGAGACCTGCACACGGTCACAGAAAGACTTCCAGGTACACTGGTCGACAAAAAAACCCTACACCATCCTATCTATGTTAGAATAAACGACAAAATACCACCACGTACCCATCCACACACAGACGTGTAAAAGCATGAGAGGATCTTCACGCTGGCTACCACAGCCAGTCAGAGCATCTTCATCCTGAGCTGTACCGTACCAGACTCCTCATCAAGGTAAGGAAGCCATGCTTAAAAGTCAGGGAGGGAAGAGACGAGGGGAAAGGAAGGAGGGCGGGAGGGACCGGGAATTCCACGGCTTTGAGTTCAAAGACTAAAATTTCAAGTCCCAACAGAAAGCAGGCACCCAAGTGAGGAAAGCTCCTGAGTCTCAGCCATTCAACCACAGCATCAGATAAGCTCAGGGTCCCTTCCAGCCTCCCTCATCCATGGCATCAGGTGAGCTCAGTGTCCCTTCCAGTCCCAGCACCCACGATTCCATCAGCATCACAGCTCAGGTGCAGTTCAGGAATGTCACAAGCCACCTCTGCTCGCCAGCCTAGGCTGTCAACCCAGCCGCCATCCGTATCATGGTTCCTACAGACAGGTGTGCCCAGGGCTCTGCAGGAGGACACCAGCGTCCAGGGGAGACAGGAGGACACGGATGCTGGCACAGCACCATCCCAGGACACAACGCAGCCCAGTAGGCTACAGTATTACAGCACTTTATTACCTTTTCTACAATGTTTGGGGGAACACAAAATTTCAAATGGAGGTGTCCAGTCTAGGATTAGAGAGAATTAAGTGACAGAACAAGGAGACAGGACTGACGAAAACCCTGAAGATAACTTGGAGATCTCACCTGTAAGAACATCAAGTTTTAATGTCTTTCTCTCATTAGTTATGCACTGTTCTTTCAAAAATGTGTTATTTAGATGTACTTTGTACTTTGTTGGGCAGGTGCTGGACCCACAGCACCTGCCCAACAAAGGCACACAAGGTTAACTCAGCTCAGGTGTGCCAGACCGAAAGGTGCACAGTCCACGTGTCTGAGACTTCTGAGCTTCAGACCGCTGCTCACGGAGCGTGATGGCTGTGCCCTGACACCAACTCAAATCGCGGACCGCTGCCTGCCCTCGCTCTTCCGGCCGCGGACCCCTGCCCGCCCCCGCTCTTCAGAGCCTCTGTGACCGGGGCCTCAGCTCACAAGGGTTCCTCAGTCTGCTGTCCTGCCGCCCCAGTGGCCTGGCACTCTCCCTGCCGGGACTGGGTGGGCCCGAACGCTTTCTCTCAAGTTCCTCCATGTTGCAGGTGCGAGTGCGTCATGATCTGCGGTCTCCAGGTCCTCAGGCCATCCATGTGTTGGGGGCCATGTGTGCCCAGCCCTCAGTGGCCTTCTCAGACCCCCTCCATAGCCCCATGTCTGATGTCACCATCTCTTCCCTCCACCTCTCGGTCTCTGTCGGGAAGGCCCTACATTTTTCTTCCCAGAAAACCCAGATGCCATCAGAAAACTGCCTCCTCCTCGACCCCGCCCATCCTTTCCCTCTGCAGGGGTTAACTGTATGTGTCAACTTGACTGGGCCTTGGGCGCTCAGATATTTGCTCCAACATTATTCTGAGTGTATCCGTGAGGGTGTTTCTGGAGGACAGTAACATTCCAATCAAAATCAAAACACTGGGAAAGCAGACTGTCCTCCAATCAGCTGAAGGCCTGGACAGAACAGGAAGGCTTTAGTAAGAAGGAGCTCCTCCTGCCGGACAGCCTGGAGCTGGAACACCAGCTGCTTCTTGCCTTCAGACTCAAAACGGAACATCAGCTCTTCCAGGGTCTTGAGCCTGCCCACCTTCAAAATGAAACTATACTGTGGTTCTCCTGGGTCCCGGGCCTCTGGACTTGGCCTGGAACTTACACCATCGGCTGCTCTGAGTCTCCACTTGCCAACTCAACCTGAAGATCTTGGGCCTTGCCAGCCTCCATGAGCCAATTCCACATAATCCATCTCTTCCTATGAATGTACTCACACGTTCACTCATGTTCTACCCTGACGCATCCTTCCTGACTGCTGCGATGGAAGAGGAATCCCGAGCCAAGCCTGCATGCTCTGGATGGAGTTTCTCCTGCCCTCCTCTCTCTGTAGGAGACCCTTCCTCGTTCTCCTACATCTTCAGCTTCTCTCTACTGGCTCCTGACCACCAGCATCTAGACACACGCTTGGCTCACCCCATGGTAAAAAACAAACAATTTCCACTCAGAGCCAGGCCTCTCCACCTCCCCCAGCAGCCGACTGGTTGTAGCCCCGGCCAGTCTCCGCTCGTTCCTTGCCTGGTGGAGGCTCTGAAGCAGCTTCCGCCAGGCCCCCCGACCTCCATGGATGAGTCACCCCATCTTCCTGACCTACAGCAGCATCTGCCCCTGCTGGCAAGTCCCCCCTTCTGGAAACTCTCTTCTTCTGGCTTCCACAACCAATACCCCCGTGAGCGGCTGGATGGTGGGACCCTCATATCTCCAGCGCCCCTGGATCTGAGCGTGGGCAGCAGCATGTCAGGTCCGAGGGCTCTGGGAAGCATCCTCTGCTGACCCTGAAGCTCAAGGCCACCATCGTCAATGGCTGGATTTTACTGCGGCTGGGTTCAGCTGCCATCATCAATCAGCCTCAGCGCTATCAGAGGAGACACACCAGACAGCACAGACTCAAGATGGTGACAGGGAGCTACATCCCGTAACACCATCTGTCACAGAGTCACGCCAATAAAGAAATAAACCAAAAAATGACCGCACTTCCAGACTTAACTACCAGTTGACAAGAATTACAGATTGAGACTTAAGAGGGAAATCACCCAATGTAACATGAGGATCCTGTTTAGGCTAATTTTAAAAAAGTTAATTGTGAAAGAGAAAATTCAAGGATCTGGGATATTGGAACACTGACTAAATACATTAAGAACCCCTTTAAATGACTGGAATGACAGTGGTATTTGGGTTATTTTAAATATATCATTATCTTTTTTTTTTTTTTTTTTTGAGATGGAGTCTCGCTCTGTCGCCCAGGCTGGAGAGCAGTAGCACGATCTTGGCTCACTGCAAGCTCCACCTCCCAGGTTCACGCCATTCTCCTGCCTCAGCCTCGCTAGTAGCTGGGACTAAAGGCGCCGCCACCACGCCCGGCTAATTTTTTGTATTTTTAGTAGAGAGGGGGTTTAACCATGTTAGCCAGGATGGTCTCATCTCCTGACCTCATGATCCGCCCGCCTCAGCCTCCCAAAGTGCTGGGATTACAGGCATCAGCCACCATGCCCGGCCAAATATACCATTATCTTTCAGAGACTGGCTTTAAATAATCCAGTGAAGTTCCAGGGGAACGTGGGAGGAAGTGTTCGGGCCCACCCTGTCCCAGCAGGGAGAGTGCCAGGCCACTGGTGCAGCAGGACGGCGGGCTGGAAACCCGTGAGCTGAAGCACTGGTCACAGAGGCTCCAAAGTGCTGGGTGGGGGCGGAAAACCCGTATGCATCACTGTCAAAGCCAGTCGCCGGCAAATAGGCTTGTCACTGTTCTCTCAACGTGCATATTGTCATTTTCCAAAAGAGAAAAAAAAATTATTTTATTTATTTTTTTGAGACGGAGTCCCACACCATCTCCCAGGCTGAAGTGCAGTGGTGCAATCTCGGCTCGCTGCAACCCCCACCTCCCAGGTTCAAGCGATTCTCCTGCCTCGGCCTCCCGAGTAGCTGGGATTATAGGCATGCGCCACCACACCCAGCTAATTTTTGTATTTTTAGTAGACACGGAGTTTCACCACGTTGGTCAGGCTGGTCTCAAACTCTTGACCTCAAGTGATCCACCCACCTCGACCTCCCAAAGTGCTGGGATTACAGGCGTGAGCCACTGTGCCTGGCCCCCAAAAGAGAAAAAAATTTTAATTAAAGAAAGTGAGTAGCCAGGATGCTGGAAGATCTTTTCAGTGTTTACTGAAATTGCTAAGAATCAAGATGAGGGTAGTGACGGAGACAGAAAGCCATCAGGAACAGCCGCTCCACCTTCCGACTATGCAGGGAGGGCTGAAAGACAAGGAGAACTTTCAGAGAAGAGGCCAGGGCTACGAGGAGCCTAAGGAAAGGAAAAAGAGAAGAGCGTAAGGACCCAGTGTAAGGCTGGTCAGCTGAGGTGGCAAGAGTTGCGGAGGCCAGCCCAGGACCAGGTGGACCCACGCACTGATGTCCAGACCAGCCCTGAGGCCCCCGCCTCCAGTTTCCGGCTGTGCGCCACAGGCCTCGACTCATGCAAGGTGGCTGGTCCTTCCCTCTGGTCCTGATCCAGAGCTAGGCCTTCCCAAAGCACTCTGGCCATCTCCTGGATAGCCCCCGACCTCTATCCTGCAGCAACCTCAGAGAGCATCCCCCGCTTTAAAACCTTTCAGGGGTTCCCAGTGCCCGGGAGTCCAAATTCCCAGCCCAGCCTACACCACTCCGGCCAGCCCCTGCCCACCAAGAGTCCAAATTCCCAGCCCAGCCTACAACATCCGGCCAGCCCCTGCCCACCTTCCCCCTGCATTTCCCACTCCAGCTGCCACAGAGGTCTGCCCACAGGTCTCACTGAAGGAAGGCTGTGAATTTCAATGAAGTTAAGTGTTGCTCTCCCAAGGTAGAGAAACATACACAGACATTTTAAAAACTCTATTTAAAATAGGTCAGAAAAGCAACAATAAATGACCATAAATCACTGTTTCATGCTGCACGGTCTGAAGGAAGGAGCAGTCTCCCTGAGCTGGCCTACCCGTTCTGTTCTAACCAACACAGGACTTTTACAAAACAGAGTGTGTTGCTATGGAAGTGTGATGTGACCTAGAATTGTGAATTAAAAACTCAATCATCAAATGTGAGATCTGACTAATGCTGGTAAGAAGTATTTTTCTTAAAATATTTTCTAATTTTCTTACAGTTTCAATTACATTTTCACTCTTTAGAAGATAAGCCACTGAGACCGGGCGTGGTGGTTCATGCCTGTAATCCCAGCACTTTGGGAGGCTGAGGCGGGCAGATCACCTGAGGTCAGGAGTTTGAGATCAGCCTGGCCAACATGGTGAAACCCCATTTCTACTAACAACAGAAAAATTAGCCGGGCATGGTGGCCGCATGTCTGTAATCCCAGCTACTCCAGAGGCTGAGGCAGGAGAACTGCTTGAATCCAGGAGGTGAATGTTGCAGTGAGCCAAGATTGCACCACTGCACTCCAGCCTCGGTGACAGGGTGAGACTCTGTCTCCAAAAAAAAAAAAAAAAAAAGACAAGCCTCTGAAAAAATTACACAAGCATTTTCCTGGTGCCTTAAACATCTGCTTGGGTACACAAGTTTTTCGACCTGCTGATCAAATCCTGGCCTGTTTCGTTGTATATTTTCCCTTGGCGCTAACCCGTAATTTCATCAAACGCAAGCTTCGTTTCAGTCACCCTTTCTACCTGGTAAACTGAAAACACAAGGGGCAGGGCCAGCACCTCTTCAGACTCAAACGTCTCTCGGTTTGAGTGGATCAGAATATGAATAAAAGCAGAAAACTCAGCCTCAGACAAAAGTTGTGTTCTTGAAACCTTGAGCTTCAACACTGTTCTATGATGCTTCCTTTCAAATGGGAAATAATTTTCCAGGTTACTTCTGTTAACTCAAAAATACTAAGCCACTGATACACATCACAAACCCTAGCCATCACCACAGAGACTTCTCCGGATCACCACCGCCTGGGTGGGGTTGAAGCCAGCACGCCATGTGTGATGACTAACCACCCAGTCACCAGGATAAACAGATTCGGAAACGCAGCTTTCAAAACCACCCTAAAGCCGTAAGATACAGTTTACCATTTTTTTTCACCTTCAAAATATAGCATGCAGTCAGCAGTACTATCGAGTTCCTGCTAAGGTCCACGCCACCGCGGCAGCGAGTGGGCATCGCAAGGCCAGGCCCCCACGTGCAGGTGCACACTCACCTGAGCGCATACGTGTAGCCCGTGTTCTCCGGCACACACTGGGGAGGACTGTACATGTGAAGCCGAGAAAAATCCATGTTCACCACTTCAAACCATACTGCAGAGGGCGGGAAAGAAATGCAGAGTGTTTAACGAGCGGGAAATCCAGGGCAGTCCTGTCTTAGTCAACCTGAGCCGCCTACATGCAACTCAACTCAGGTCACCATCAAAACTTCCAGGCAACACAGCCAGCGGCAGTGTTTTCTAAACAGAGGAGACAAGTGTTTCCATAGTCACAAGCCCAGGAACACTGCTGGCTTATCTAGTCCCCTAATATAGCCTGAGAAAAAGACCTGGGGAGCCCTGAAGTGACTGAGTCATGAAAACGGGGCCACCTTCCAAGAAACACAGAGAAACTCAGAGCGTTCTTCAAGATGTTTCTAAATCCTCTGTGTCAAAATGTTCTCAGTCTTTTGAAATCAGCTTTTATTTTATTAACTAAAATAGAACTACCTGCTACTCCGTGGTCAAGCAGCAGCATACACGTTCCTAGATAGCTGAAGCTCTCACAAGCATCTCGGAATCAGAAAAGAAACTGCAGGGTGAGTAATAAAAAAGTTTAAGGCACTATTTACCTTTTTTCCTCACCAAAAAACAGGTTATTTTTTAGGTTAGAAAGTGGTGAGTGTATTGTTTCTCAGGCTGTCCTCTAGATTTCTTTGGAATGACTCACACCTTCCTCTGGCTAAAAATATTCACATGCACACGCCCTGCCTTTTTAAGAAGTCTTCATAGTAGCAACGTGAGTCCTAGTTGGCTGTTGAAATATCTGAGGAAGATATAACTAAAAGAACATCCTGGACAAAACATACTTTTGTACAAATGACTGAGCTCCATATACCAAGCCGAAAGTACTTTAATTCATACTACTTTCTTTGAAATAAAGTACCACAGAAATAAAGACCACTGTTTACATGTAAAAATTGTACTACACCTATAAGTATGGACAAACATGACGAAACTTCTGCATTTCAAAACACGTTTCAAAATTCTTCAGTTCTTTCCAGGGACACCCAGCCCAGTACCCGACCCAGAACACAGGCTCGGCAAGTACAATTCACACTTGTTTGGCATTCTATGAACTTACGCTTCAACAGCTTTTTGCAAATACAACTAACTGTGATCACTTAATCCACGTAATAGTTAATATCTGTTTAACTCTCTCTCTCCCACTTGTCTACCTACTTTAACCAACACCTAAATCTAGATTCAATCCACGTGCAGAGGAGCCCGGCACAGGAGCAGGGCCTTGGTCTGGATCCAATGTAGGCTACGCTCCCCCTACACACCATGCCTGGGCTCCTGAGGTGCACAGGTCTGGTCCGGCAGCCTCTGCAGCACCCAGCCCCACCCAGCAGCAATGCAACAATGGGCTCTGCCTGCACTGCCAAGCAACAACCCAAGGCTGGGCTCGGCGAATGCCCACTCCCGCTCCCACCCTGGGGGACACAGGGCTAACTCAGTGTTTCTACGGACGCCCACTCCTGCTCCTGCCCTGGGTGGGGGGACACTCCTGCCCTGGGTGGGGGGACACGGGGCTAACTGAGTAATGCTATGGATGCCCACTCCTGCTCAGATGTTGGGCTAATTTAGCAGTAAGTCCGTTAGGACAGCCAGGCCAGAGAAAAGGAAAGCAAGGAAGACGGGCATGGTAGGGAAAAGAGGTCACACTCCAGGTTCAGCAGGTGCTGAGGGAAGCGCAGATGTGGAGAGTCTGTGATTACAGACCCTTAATCTATCTTCATCACTCTGATTTCACTTTTATAATCACGTGAATTTTAAGTTTACGCTCCCCGGTGAAATGCATCTGTGTATAAAACGCGCGGAATCTATCACTTTCTCTATTTCCTAACATGTTGAAATGAGGAAACAGGGCACCTTACCCCCCTCCTCAATGCAGTCCTGGCCTAACGACACCTGTCCAGGATCGAGGGAAGTGTCCTGGCCGTTACCTCTCAGCTGAGAAAATAACCCCACCCTGACAAGCGCCGAAGGCCAGGCTCATGCCAAGCAGAACCTTGCAAGGCAGCGGCAGCAGAGGCTGTGACAATGTGCCCCGGTGTCCCCAAGGCAGGTGCTCCGCGCTCTCCCACATGCGCCATAGGCCTGCTGCCAAGTGAGAGGCTCCCAGAGTTCTCCAACTCCCCTCCCCGCCCTGCAGTCTCATTCACCCCCTCCTTCCTCCTTCCCCCTTAACAGACCACAACATGGATCAGGAAGATTTTAAACTTCATCCTTAGTCCTTTACGACACCAAGTATTAAATTATAGGATAAACTACAATGAAGTCAAAAAAGGATTAAATGAAACTGCGCACCTCAGGCAATGCCTGACAGGTGACAAGCACTCAGGCATCAGCTGCGGTTATTTTGAGGAGTAAAGCGATAGGACCGATGTTTTAAACTTTAAAAAAGAACAGTTATTTTTCTTCTGGGTGTGCAATTCCTGAAACGAAAGATTTGTTCACCCTGCCCTAAATGAAAGGCAGAGGTTCACCGATGAGCCCCACAGCTGGGACTCAGCCAGCAGGCAGGAGCCC